GCTTTGCATTGTTGTTTGTAACCCTTGCTTTAGAAGTACAAGGGATGCATCGTAAGAAAAAAAAAAACCCTTTAGCAGAGGAGTGAACATGTCATGCTAGCATTAAATGTTGACTCAAATAAGTTCACAAGTTGTGTCTCCTCTGATCTCTAACATGATCAGAAAGAAGCACCAGTTTATAGAGACAAGATGTGAAAAAAGTTCCATGCACAGACACAAAAGAAATATTTTGATATAGACCCAAAGAGAAAACATATCAAAAGAAATTTTTCTACATGTCTTTTGCAAGCACAAAAAGCAGAAATGGTGTCAAGAGAAAACAAAACAGAAGGCTTGTTTCTTCCAACAATTGCTTTAAGCTACAAAAATCTCCTTGAGTCCCTAGCCTCCCCTCAATGTCAGCCCCGTACTCCTCTTCCTCTCCCCTTTCCTCTCTCTCCCCCTCCCTCTCTCCTCGTCATTTCTGCCCTCTTCTCCTCTTTTCCCTCTCTTTGGCAGGACAGGGCCCTCTTTGCACCCTGATAGGTTGCGGGTTGATGCTTAGCAACAACATTCCTGTGCCCTAAGTAGCAGTAAGCCTCTGGCTGAACTCTTTGATGTGGCTGTCAGGCCACATTTATTTCCTTTTAGCACTTTGTCTACTTGTCCAGATGTATAAGGAGATAAAAAGGCCTGGTGTTTACACTGGTCTCCCTCTGTAGCGCGGCTGTAATTAGATTGTATTGCTGGTCAGTCTTAAAGTAGGGAGGCGAGGTGAGGCAAGCCAGGAACCAGCTGTGTCAGGACCAGCCGGTCAGGAGGAAACTTCGAAGCTAGGCGTTTAAAAAAGGGAAGGAGTGAGTTAAACATGAGGAAAACTTTGTGTTTATTGTGTTTTTCCACTGACCATAAGCCTTATAATCTTACTTTAGAGGTACATAAATCATCTAAAACTCAAATGATTCAGGTTTATTTAACTCCCACATAATCAGTCTTATTAAACAGTTAACTTTAAATAAAAAAAACTAACTTTGCATTTATTAGTATTTTTCTGACTCACTTTTTTGTGTTACAGTTTCAGGATTCACAGCTTGGAAGTGGTTGGCTCTATCTTTGTGATCTGCTCGACTTCTTTCCCAACCCTCCACTGTCATTCTCTTTCTACTTCCTCCCTTGTGGTGATATGTTGGAACTAATAATCACCCTTGCCTCTGGGTTTATCAGCATTTATTCACATAACAACAGTGGGGAAAAAAGAGAAGACAGACAGGACTGGTGTGATGTATTATCCAGTATGGGAATCATCTTTCATAATGACATCCAACAGAGCTTCCTCTCTCTCTCCTTCTTGCTCTCTTCCTTTTTGCTATCTTTTTTTTTGTGTGTTTCACACGCACACACACACTTTCCTCCTTTCTCTTGCTCCCCCCTTCCACTTCCCTCTGTCCGGTCTTTATTATTGCAGAATCCACGATGCTCCCCAGCCTGTAAATTTGTGCCACATTATCATAAGCTGTGGTGATAACTCACATTGCACTGAGACAATAATGATGTGAACACTCAGCATATGCCCCAGGCCCAGCAAATTAAAACAATGCTCAGCTTGATGAGCAGACTAATCTGGACAGCAGAGAGACTGAGCAAGGAGAAGGGGCTCTGGGAGAGTCTTAAATAGACGACACAGCAGCACCTCCCTCTGTTCAGTGTTGGCACGACTAAAGAGCTAATAACAAACAAGAAGGAAAACAAATAGTGCATCAGTCCATTTTAAGAGTTAATACACGCTGAAATTTCCAGGTTTTTTCATGTTATAGCAAATTATAAATATTGTAACTATTGCCTTGTGTGTTAAATTAATTTGGCAATGGATATAACTTAACTAGTCCACAGATAAAACTCGAGTGTAATTTAATCTCAGTATAACTAAAACTGTTCTGTGAATGCCTCAGATATATGTAAGGGAAGATTATTTAACAGAAAACATCAATGATCACTGCGAGCTTTGAATATTTGATAAAGCATACAAATATTGTCTAAAAAATGGAATTAAGATAAAGCCAATGAAAGAATGAATCTGAGAAGCAAGCAATATGTCAAAGTTAACTCCTGCTTTGATGGGAGGATGTTACCGGAGTTACTATGAATTGTCCTCTTTACAAATTCAGACCTGTATGGACGAGTGTTGAGAGCAAAGGCATTTTCCTTATGGCATTTGTCTAAAGCCATGAAGGGATGCAGCAAAGATGTGAAAAAAGGTACAAAAAAAATGACAAGAATGAGACAAAAATGTCATGATTCGTCCAATGAACAAAACGCTTTCTGTAGAGGAAAAGTATATCATCCCAATGCCTAAACATGGTTGGGACGCACTATGTTGTGATATGATCAGAGTTAAAATGGAAAGCAAAATGGAACTAAGAGCATGGCCTATTGGTAACCTTCTGGAGTCTAGCAAAAGATTTGAGGCTAAGGCCAAAGTTCACCTTCTGGTAGGACGACAATCCTAACTACACAGAAGAGCCACAATGAAACTTCTTAGATCAAAGCATCTTTAGGTATTAAAGTGGGAATTCCAGAGAATAGTCTGTGAAGAGTTTTAAAGTACTATATATAGATTCTCTTCATTTAATCAGAATTAACTTTTCATTTAAGTTAAAAAAAAAGTTATCTAATGTTTTCACCAGTGATTAAAGTTATGAAAAGTATCTTATCCCTGCAGAAATGATGTTGTTCAACAAATGTTTATTGAATGAATAGAATATGAGCTAAAACACTCACAGAAACTAAATATGTTAGGGGTAGAGGTATCACGCTGGAAGTCTGAGGTTTCTTAAATTTAACTCCGTATTCATTTCATTCCAGTTGTCTAGTTCTGTTAATCCACATATTTAATCTCTCTGCGGTACTGTTAATAATGTGGCACCTAGGATGATTATTTGTGGCCAAGCAGCAGGATTAGGAGGACCCTTTTAGGGTCGAGCAAGTCTGGAGAGGCCCTGCCTTGTGATCTTTCAAGCAGATCAGGAAATTAGACAAGCAGCAGCTCAGCTCTGTGGTGGATCACAGACGCATGGAGATACTGTAGATTGGAAAGAGACAGCTCACGATATCTGCCTTAATGCCTGACTTATTCACTTCAGCTCATCATAATTGACATACACACTTTGCGTTTGTTGTGACTGCCAAATTAAATTATAATGACACAGCCAAATGTCAGAATGCACAAGTTAGAAAGTTTGCTGTGCTGATGTTTTGGAGCAGGATGAGACTTTCGCCAGTCTCTAATGTGCAGGTGCTGCTGTATAAGTGAATTAAACTGACACCATTCCCTTCTCTCAAATGGAAAGTGGCAGTTCTTATTTAGTGCTGTATGTTCTCATTTTGGGTTGTTTTACTGCTTGTGTTACTCATTCTGCACAAGTACACCTTGCAAGCAATGAGAAAGCTTTGATGTAACTTATCAAGTTTTAGCCACTCCAGAGACTTAAAGCAGTGGGTCTGCTGTCAAAATAATATTTCTTTTTCATTCTGTTTCTTTCAAACACTCATGCAGATATAGGAAGGCCTCAAATATGGCATATTTGGCAATTTTTCTTCTCAGTGTAATACAAGGCACATGCAGGCCAAACCTTAATGCTTCTCAGAGATGCTATCTGAAAGCACATTATATGAACATTTTGCAATTCACAGTGCTCTCTTTGGCCATGAAGAATATGGTTCCATTTAACAGCACCCACTATTCAATTTTTCAAGGTTATGCATGGGCATGTATAGGAACAACAATAATGGAGGTTGAGGCAAATACAACTCCAAACAGTGTAATATGTATTTGTCAGTTAAGTCTCCGCCTATGATTAAAAGCCTTGAGAATTCCTTTCTGCATGAAACGAAAGTATTTCTGCAAAGGCATCAGATACCGCTGTGCAACGATAAACTGCCTGCTCCATGGGCTAAAAGGCTAAGGGGACAGAAGCAAATGTTTTGAACTGTTAAGGTGTACCGAATAACAACAAAACATACTCAATCATCTTGTTCATGTTGAAAACTCCATTATTGGGTTATCTAAAAATGTTCACACTGTTCAGATATTAAGATTTTAATTTAGAAACTAATATATGCGGTTATCTCTGCTTTCAGCTGTGGGCAATCAACAGGGTGATTTTAGATTTGAACGAGATAAGAGATTAATATGCGAAAGAAATTAAAGGGTAGGAAAATTAACAACTTGACTTGGTGTACTTCCCTTTGAAAAACAGCCTTGGTGTCTATAGTCTGTATGTGTAAGCTATATAAACTCTAAAATATATTTTAACATTGTATTTATTTTGAAAATAAATAGAACTGTAGGTATAGGCTATTACAAATTTTTAACCACATGTAGAAAGGTCGATGATAGCATACACCGTTAGGGGTCAGGAATAAATGGAAATAAGAGCTTGCTAAAGGTTCACAGGTCCTCACTCCATGTGTAATCCCTGGGGGAATGCACATGCTATCATGGCTATGTATATAATAAATAGGGTTTGTTGCATATTAACAACGATAGGCATCAAAGGGTTAATTTAGAAGCTTGAACTGCAATGTGTTTCAGTAAGGTTTAATCTCATTACATGATTTAAGTTCTATTTTCAGGGGTAAATGGAATACACCATTAGAAAACTCCAGTATTTTCTGTAAACTCAATGTTCTATACTCCATCTAAGTCCATAAACTTGGATTTGCCTTGCAAATAATAACAATTTCTTGCAAGTTCCAACTAAAGGTAGCCCAAGTAAAATTGCTGTTCCTTGTACCACATTTTTAGATCCATGACAATAGAAGGATATATCTGAGTAGAGTAATTCAAGGATCTCTAACTGTTGTGATTATTTTGTGCTTATTTGATTATTCACCCTTAAATGAGCTGCATTAGCCTCAAAATTTCATAACTTGTCATACTCAGACTTAATCTAGTATTAACACTAACAACACCCTATTATACCTTTGTGTTCATTGTTGTCTTGTTTTTTTGTCTTCCAAAGCTGCTCAATGAGGCTGGATCAGAGATTCGCCCACTGCCCTACACACCTCTGCCACGGGGATCCAGAGATGCAAAAAACCACAAAGGTAAGAAAAATTGACAAAAACAGTTCTTTATTTTCACGTCTTGAGGTCTGTTCTCATATTAAAATGGTATTAAAACAGTTATATTCCACACTGCGAACCAAGGCTTGGGATTATGTAAATGTGGTGGCATAACCTTAGTAGGTGAAGACAGTGGGAATCTACTGAACTTGAGAATGCACCAAAGTTATGTTATCTATCCTTATTGATCTCCACATATCTGTGGGATGTGTTGATAGTGGGAATAAGTACGGGTGTGGGTGCACAGAGTAGCAGCATAAGATGGAGCATCCTTGATCTGTTTAAACACAGACATTGATTAGGCCTCATATTGACCCATTGTAATCAGTTGATGTAATTATGCTGCAGCTTCTTAACATCAGACACATTGTTTATTACAATTATTTAAAACACACACAAATTAAACATGGAGGTCATCTACAGAGTTTAAAGTATGTTTCATATAAAAATGAACCAAAAAGCCTTTGTTCTCCATTTTAGTCATTAGCACATTTCCTAGATGTAAGATTAAAACAGAAATAGTTTGTATCCATTTGGCATCATTTTAAATCTCAGTTTTAGACTGTATGTCAGCAGTCTGCCTACCTGTGTTTGCTGCTGTGTTTAAAATCCGATTTGCAATTAAAATTATATTCCAAATAACCTATTTAGAGTAACAACAGATGAAATGCATAAAGCATTAAACTTTTTTTGTTTTGTTCTTGATATAATTTTACTATATCATGTATTTACTGACATTGTTTAATTTAATTGTTATTTTGATTACTTATTAAGTTAAAATAAGCAGATCTAACCGATGATGTATTCACACTTTATTTAAAAGCAAGTTTAGTACTTGAGAAATTCTAGACAATAATACTAATACAGTCTTATGCAGAACTTGTTTACTGATTAAGCTCCTATATTTTTTCTTCTAATTAAAAAATATATATATATATAAAAAAAAAAGAAACAACCAAACAAAGAACAAACATTTAGATAGTTCTATATGAGCAAATAAAATGTGTTATCTCAAAGATTGGGTCATATCACTGAATGTGTGTCACTTAGAATTCACCATTGTTTCGTATAGTGTGAGTTTGGGAGTTAAAAGTTTAAGATTTACATTGTGCTGCTCTGCAAAAACTAAACTTGTTTAGTTAATTTCTGCAAATATTGAATTTTTTTTTTTTTAGCATTTTAACCTACCTAATTTTAACGTAACATCTTGGATTGGTTCAATGTCCTTAGAGCTAAAAAAGTAGAATTGGATTAATCGTGATTAATTGGCTATTGAAATAATCGTGAGCTAATTTGATAATTTGTTACCTAGAGTAACAGACTCTAAATCATGCTATTTGTTAAAATGATAACCAACTTAAAGCAACAATTAAGAAAAACCCTTAAATACAAATATAATATACAACAAAACATATAAGATAAAAAACATAAATGTATACACTTTTTTCAATCTAGATTTATTTGCTCTCTCTCACATATATATGTATGTAATTTTTTTTTACATTTTACCACTGCAAGTAATTTGAAATATGCCTAAAACCTTTTTTTCTAAATTTCAAATCTTAATTTAGATATGTTAATTTACTAAGTGTAATTTCAAGATTAATCAAATCATCAAAGGTAATTGATAGATAACTTAAATAAGCGAAAGGTGCAGCCTAAACAGTCCTCTAAACTACAAAGTGAGTGCCACCAAATGATCATATTACTATTAGAATAAAGTCAGAAAGTAGAACTCACCTTCCTTATTAGATGTTTCAAGCAATTAGCATTTCTAAATGTATTTTCATCAGCCTGCATTCTGTAGTAAAAGGTGAAGTATTGTCCCTTTTGTCCCTATTATTATTTAATAGTGGTAGTTCCTATATCCAGAATGCTTGGCATTCTAAATTGATGTCAAACATTTTTTTGCTGCCTATCTGAGCTGAAGATCATATTACTACATACTAGATAATTAATGCCTTAAAAGTCTACATATTTGCACACTGTTGAAACCTCAGGCAATTATGTAAAAGTGTGTCCTTGGCTTGCATACATGCATTAATTTTCCAATTTACTCTACTGGGACAATTAAGTACAGAAATATAGTGTTTTTTCAAACAAAGATTATGTAATTGGTCGTAACCGGTGCCACTTCATTTTGTGCTATTAAACAGCCACAAAATGTGAGAGAAAAATCTGTTATTAAAACACTTTGCATTTGCCTAGCAGTGTGACATGACCTGTGGAAGTTAATGGAAGCTTTTACAAGAATTTTGTTTAGAAGATAAAATCAAAGTAGTCCTTGAGTTTTCATATAGGTTTTTACAGTTGACTAATTGAGGCCTGTCATCTTTAGGGTTGTTGACTGTCATCTGCAAAACTACTAAAGAGAACTTCAAACTTTTTGTATAGTATTTGTATGTTTTAAGCAAGAAAGAAAAGCGAACCATGAAGGTGTGAAAGTTAAGAGGCAAGCCATCTCTACATGCTCTGAAAATCCTCATAGTAGAGTTAACCTCAGCAAGCTTTGCTTTACAGCATTCTACCTTCACTAATCTAAAATGCTGTTTAACTCTTTTTAAATGATGCTTAACTGCACCTTATCATCTTCATAAGGAATTTGAAAATACAAAGACTTTAAGAATCATTAAATCCTTATTAACTGAAACAGAAATAGGCAAGATTAACAAATATTTCAAACACTGGTTATGACATAAATTAACCCAGGAACCCAAGGAATTTTCTTTGTGTTCAGCTATATATTATAGAGTTTATTGTAATAAGCTGACCAACACCAGCTGAATGACTTACTAGCAGTGAGTGTCTCTGCCCTACACGGAGTAAACTAACAGCCCCATTTGTTGTACCAAGGACAGATCTGTGTCGTTAAAGCCAGAACGCTGGCAGCTCCCACAAGAGGCGAATACAAACCAGCCTTGTAGTTTGTCAAAATCAGACCTGTTAAGAGCAGCACATTCAAAGGTGAGAGGCTCTGACACATGGGATATTTTCCCCTCTGTCTAAGATCTGAGCAACGATGACAGTCTTCATTTGTTATTGTTATGATGCTGTGCTGCAGTCTTAGATAACACAACCCTCATATTCGTCCTTCACCTCTACTTTATGTCCCCGCCGGAGGCTCCCATCCAGACCCCCCCACCTACACACACACACACACACACACAAACACACTAAATGTATGTATCCTTTTTCAAACATTACAGTTTTTTCACCATGTGTGGTAGATGATCACAGCACGCCCTCATTTGGAGAAGACAAAGACATGCCAAAACAGCATTCCTTTAGACGGAACATTTTTCAGACAGTAATCCTCAATGTTTACTAATCTAAAACCTAGATGTAAACAATAGGGGGCAAACAAATGCTACAGGGCTTTAAGTACATTACTACAGTTCCTTTGTCTCTGAAGACGCTTCAAAATTTGGGTTATTTACTTTTTTTGCATTTAAGTCCACATTTTGTGGTATTGCTCTATCAGAGCTGCTTTTCCAGACTTCTACAGAACTCTGTTGAAAATCAGTACCTAAAAAGATATATTGTCGTTTAACTTTTTACATTCTCTAAAAGGGACACAACTCTCCTAAAAAGTTAATTGGAAAAGTGTTATTCATACGCCGTATAGCTCTACCCTCAATCTTGCACCAGGAGGAAGATTAGCAGCATTCCTGACATCCCCTCTCTCGCCTATGCAGAAAGAACCTCTCTTTCCTTCTTTCAGCCTTCTGCACTCACCATGTCACCTGTGTAGCCCCAGAGCCTGGGTGCCAGAGGTAATTACAGCAGCTACGAGCTCCCAGAGCGGGGCAGTGCTGGCAGGTCACTGCCCAGGGAGAGAGGGGTAGAAACCATTGCCACAGTGTCTGTTGTGATTGGTGTAGGAATCAACATAGAGGAGATGAAGTTACAGTAAGGTAGCAGAGATGAGCTGAAGAATAATGGAGAAAAGATATTTTAGGTCTGTGTTATGCTCCAAAGTATACTTGGTTAACACAATATTCAGAAAATTCAGAAATTCAGAAAAGTTAATAAATCAAGTCATAGCGAAGTTTTGTATAAGGCAATGAAGATACAACCTTAATATAGAGAGAAGTAGACAAAAGACAAAGTGAAGGAGAATGGTGGGGGCTCTAGTGTACTTTAGTGGAAGCCTGACATAGAGTGTGGTATACAGTCTGGCAGAGGGGCCTGAGGATCTTCCACTACTGTCACCTTGACTCTAACTCTTGGTGCTGGTCCAACTGCCAGCTTAACTCTAAATCTAGCTGTAGAAAATGGAGTCTCTGCCTAAAGTACAGTATGCCTACATGAAGGCCGGTCTGTACCATTCAATTAACTCCAGCCAACGACACTGTGCATTCTTGAGTATTTCCATGGCAGCCTTGTTTATACAGCTATTTTCATAGAATGCTACAAGATAAAGGGCATATGCACAATATTTCAAAATTGTTAAACTATTTTCTTTTCAGTTGTGTTAAGGCTGCTTTCTTGCAAGGGGTATTTCTCATCTTTGTTTGGCTTACTTACACAGAAAAATAAAAACAATGCTAATCATCATGGGTAAAAATTCAGGAGGAAACTTGGACTAAATGGTTATTGATTTATGTGATAGTTATCCAAAGAAATTACAGATGTCTTTTTAAAAACAATTTATTGTGTCGTGACTTAAATAAAACAATATTAAAATGTTGTCGTAATCTGTATTTAAAATATAATAGTTTGCTATTATAAATATCTAATTAGAGTTGCACTTGTTTTTTTTTTTTTTGTTTTTTTTTACAGTGTCCTGTCTGGCAATGTGGCAATACGAATAATTGTCTTGATGCCAAAAAACCCCCAACAGATTTTACTTTCACAAGTGTAGTAGTATGGCAATTGCCATACTGCTACACTTGTTTCATGCATATAAATTGCTTTATTATAATTATGCAGGGAGTTTTACAGTTTATATGGACACTGCAATGTAAATAGAGCAAAAAAAC